TATATTCGACATTAGGGAAAGCTGCGCAACAAAAGGAATATCATGAGTTACTCTGGTATCCGAACACTTACGATTTCGCCGGACGCTTGGCCCTGTCCGGCCACTCCTCTTCGTCCTCGTCGGTGTCGGGGGCGTAGTTCGGTGGAGGGGTTTTCCTCTTCTTGGACCCTTCGGCCTCCCCTACTAGGGCGGCCTTCCTCTTCTTTCCTCCCCCCGCTGGAGGGGGAGAGGTCTCTTCTTCCTCCTCCTCGTCTTCACGGGAGGAGTGCGTCTCGGACTCATCGGACGACGAGTCCGACACCACCATATGCTGGGAACTCTTTCGAGTCCCCGTGGCCTTCTTCTTCTTGGCCTTCTTCTCCGGCACCACATAAGGTGCCGGAACCAGCAGCTTCACTAGGAGAGCAGGGGCTGGGTCTTCGGGCAAGGGAGCCGGACAGTTAATCAGTCCGGACTTCGCCTGCCAATCCTGTCAAAGGTGAGGGAGTTTAGATCCCGCATAGCGTCAAACTATGAAGAAAACTTAACATCATGTAAAGGATGAAAATATTTTACCTCGCCAGTAGGATGCTGCGAGCTGAATCCGCGGTCTTCGGAGGCGGATGTGGGAGCCTCGGCGCCTTTGGTTAGCCCCTTCCAGACATCTTCGCACGTCGTGTCGAAGAGCCCGCTCAGAGTTCAATGCTGCACCGGGTTGAACTCCCACAAATTGAAGCCCGTTCTTGACACGGAAGGATCCGGCGGACGAGCATGACCTGGACTACGTTGACAAGCTTGAGCTGCTTGTTCACCAAGGACTGGATGCATTTTTGCAGTCCGGTCACCTCTTCTTCGTCGCCCCACGACAAGCCCGTCTCCTTCCAGGACGTGAGCCGCGTAGGGGGTCCGGATCGGAATTCAGGGGCTGCGATCCACTTCGGATCGCGTGGCTCGGTGATGTAAAACCACCCTGACTGCCACCCCTTCAAGGTCTCCACAAAGGAGCCCTCGAGCCATAAGACGTTGGCTATTTTGCCCGCCATGGCACCTCCGCACTCCGCCTGGTTGCCGCGCACCACCTTTGGCTTGACGTTGAAAGTCTTGAGCCAGAGGCCGAAATGGGGGCGGATGCAGAGGAAAGCCTCGCACACGACGATAAACGCCGAGATATTGAGGATGAAGTTCGGGGCCAGATCATGGAAATCTAGGCCATAGTAGAACATGAGCCCGCGGACAAATGGGTGGAGAGGAAAACCCAGTCCGCGGAGGAAGTGGGGAAGAAATACTACCCTCTCATGGGGTCTCGGGGTGGGGAGAAGCTGCCCCTCCTCAGGAAGCCGGTGCGCGATGTCTTTGGACAGGTATCCGGCCTTCCTTAGCCTTTTGACATGGCCCTCCGTGACGGAGGAGACCATCCACTTGCCTCCCGCTTCGGACATTGTTGGAGAAGGTTGAGGTAGGAAGTGCGGGCTTGGGCGCTGGAGCTTGGGTGCGCAGAAGATGGGTAGGCAAAGGAGGAAGAAGGCGTAGGTAAAAAGGTGGATCCTTACCCCCTTATATGAGCGGATGCGACTATGCGTCCCCACCAGCCTAGTAAAACTCGCTTGCCTCCCAAGCGCCGTGATAAATGGCACAGTTGGGTTGCCCATGTCCGTATTGATGAGAATCCCGTAAATGGGGGACACGATCTCTGCTTTGACAAGACGTGCCAAGGAAACCGCCTCGCAAAACACGCTGAGGTGGAAAAGTGAAAACGATTTGAATAAAGGCTTGGCTGTAGTGTGATGTCGTGCTGCGAAATACGTCAGCAGATTAGATTTGTGTTAATATTATTCTCTCTGTGGCAATACGTGGAAACTTATTTGTAGAGCCGGACACTACTCTTGGTGTTTACAAACTTTTATGAAGAATTTGGAGGAGGAACCTGCCTTGCAATGCCGAAAACAATCTACGCGCCGGACTCGTCGTCATTGAAGTCTGGTTCAGGGGCTACTGAGGGAGTCCTGAATTAGGGGGTGTTCGGGTAGCCAGACTATACCTTCAGCCGGACTCCAGGACTATGAAGATACAAGATTGAAGACTTCGTCCCGTGTCCGGATGGGACTTTCCTTGGCATGGAAGGCAAGCTTGGCGATGCGGATATTCAAGATCTCCTACCATTGTAACCGACTTTGTGTAACCCTAACCCTCTCCGGTGTCTATATAAACTGGAGGGTTTTAGTCTGTAGGACAACTTCATCATACAACAATCATACCATAGGCTAGCTTTTAGGGTCTAGCCTCCTTGATCTCGTGGTAGATCTACTATTGTACTACCCATATCATCAATATTAATCAAGCAGGACGTAGGATTTTACCTCCACCAAGAGGGCCCGAACCTGGGTAAAATATCGTGTTCCTTGCCTCCTGTTACCATCCGTCCTAGACGCACAGTTCGGGACCCCCTACCCGAGATCCGCCGGTTTTGACACCGACACCGGGGTCCAAGACATCCTATAAAGAGAATTTAGTAGGTGTCAATCATCTTCACAAACAATTGCTTTGTTTGCTATAAGGGAGTCGGAACCGAAGGTTATAGGTGCCAGTATTGGCGGGTGCAGTCCTATTGGTGCCAATGGCGCCAACTGTCGTGGTTTTGTCACGGCAGATGTTCTCGTGAAAGGACTAAGTCTGGAGGCCATCGCAACTAGGTGTTCGCTTGAACGGGGTTGATCGGGAACGAAGGACACAAGTTTACCCAGGTTCGGCCCCTCACGATGGAGGTAAAGACCTACTTCCTGCTCGATTGTTATTGCTGGAGATCTCGATTACAATGATGTGAATTCGCTAACCTAGATCTCGAGAGATTGTAACTTAGTCTTTTGGTCCTAGGAACTCCCCTTTATATAAAATAGGTTGAGTCCCTAGGTTTACAGGAGATTTCGGGTCGTACTCTCAACTCGTATCTTATTCTAACTCTTATTCATCTTTCCTCCCAAGTTAGGGAGTTTTCCATCTAAGTCTTCTTCGTAAGCCGGCCCATTAGGCTTCTCCACAAGACAGTCTCCTGGCGAATATCTTGTCAGATCTCGGGCCTTCTTGTTTCCTTCATGACCCGGAAATGTTTTGGCCCATAGAGCCCCCTGGCTCTTGGTCGGGTGAAGATACTTGCCGAGTCTCGGTGCTGGGGAACGTCCCCAACAACGTGCAACCCATGGAAATGCTTCTCTTGATGTGTAATTTATAAAGATGCATGTTTTTCCATTTTTAGAGTTCCGGGATTGAATCGTAGACAAATCGAAGAGTTCATCATTATAAAAGTAGAATTCTATCGATAAATTAAAGAGATGAACTATTCATTTTAACAATTAATTAGTGATTAGGCAGTTTGTGATTCTCCAAATTTGAAATGATGAGTACAAAATGCACTCTTCAAAGGGAAATGGCCAACATCTTGGAGGGAGTTGTGGCCGGGCGCTGAGTAAGAAGAGGAGAAAAATGATAACTTGAGCTCATGAGGGCTCCCGGATGAATGAAGACAATGAAGCAAAGAGACCACTGGGTCACTGCATGTGGTCTTGAGGTGTCATAGGTAAACCGATCAAATAGCAACCAAAGGTAGGGAAAACCAGTTACTCCTCCGCACATGGTTAGCAGGCACATTTTTAAATTTTTAAATTTCCCCTCAACGGAAGTACAAGACTTGCATGATGTTTTTGAAGAAGTGAGTGACTGAAATTAATGGCGCCAGTAGAAGCCAGTAAACTTCCTCGTTGTCACGCGCATATTTGATGACCGACGCTCATTTATTTATGGGATGACGAGCGGCGGAGTATGCAGCGTGAAGAGACCAACATGGTGCTTAAGAGACTATGGCATGAAATCTGTTTTTTTTTGACAACTAAAGTTCCCTCTTTATTCATTGGTGATAACACTTACATCTTTAAGTAAAAGAGGAAGAAGCTCATTAGGAGCCATTTCAATCCACTCACTGCAGAAATTCCTATTTCATCAAAACTATAATCATAGCATAAATTACATAAAAAAGCATAAATTACGGGAGTCTTGGCAACTTCAGATTCTCTTAATCGTGTCTTGTATAAACCCGTCCGGAGTACAAACTCAAAACATCTCAGTCCAAAAAAGTTGGGGTTAAACCGGAGTCCTGCTCCCAATTTTTGGTAGGAGAGGGGGTGTTTGTACAAAACCCGAGTCCGCCTCCGAATCCAGCTCGATCCAAGCCACGCAATCCCGATCCGACGGCTCGCATCGCAGGATCACCAGCACGCACCCGAGGGGCCGATCCTATACAAGTCGCCCCGGCTCTTCCTCCCGAGCCCTACCAAGGCGGCCGTGTCTCCAAATCTCCCTCGAAAAAAAAGCGGCGGCTCTAAATCTCTCCGCCGTGCTAAACCCTAGCTTCAGCGCCGGCGGCCCAATCCCGCCGCCGACGCTTCGATCCCCCGCCCCCTCCCTCCCAGCGCCCCGCCTCTGCCCCGCGTCGCCGCCGCCGCCGAACCCGCTCTTCCTCGTCGGGGACATCGCGTTGCCGCTGTCTCCGCCCCGTGAGGTATGGTGTTGTTTTCTCATCCAGCGATTAGTTGAATCCCGTTGACCTTCATAACCTGTGCCGGCGCGCCATCTAGATCCGCCCCTGATTCCTGTCCACGCGTGTATATAGTCGTAATCTACCTAGGGGCTGGGCATTATTGTCGAAGAAGTACTTGTCTGAGATTATCATAGAGTTTGTCTATTATGGTTGACATGCTATTTCCGTGGTTCATGCCGCCAGACCTCTTGTTGTTGGTGTTTAGAGTAGATTGAATTTGTTGCCCCTCCTTTTGGTCTCTGTTCTTAGTGTGGACAGATGCTCGGGGTGCATACTTTATAGAATCTGCATTTGGATTTGTAGTTAAGAGAATTGTTGATGATTGGATCGATATTCTGACTTTTATGTGGGCCAATCGTCCCTTCTCTAAATCATTCTTCTAATCCTGCTACCTTTTTTGTGTCCATGTACTGCTTATCTTGTTTAATCATTAATGTATACTTTTCTTTCAGCAATGGCAACGCAAGCAGGAACCGCTGCCGCTCCTCGTTTAAGTCCCCAAGTGGTAGGTTTCTCCGTGCCTCCTGTGAATAGACTATTCAAAGCGACCAGTGCCCGTTTTGATCAACATCTTTTTGCTGTATAGATTTGCTCTGTATTTGTTGAGCAATATTACCATATCCTGCACGAGACACCAGACCAGGCGCATAAGTTTTATCAAGACACAAGTAGGATTGGCCGGACAGGTTCTGATGGTGTCATGGAATACGTAACAACATTGCCTGTAAGTTCCATGGAAATTTGTTGCTACAACTTGTACGACCTTACTCTTGACTATATGCTTATTCGCACCTCCTGTATTCCAACAGGAGATCAGCAAGAAAATTATGGCCATGGACTTCAGCAAATACTTGACAGAGATAGAGACTGCAGATGCAGTGTTATCCCACAATGGTGGTGTTCTCATTGTTGTTACTGGATCATTAACCATGGTTGATGACTTCTGCCAACGATTTACACAGTCGTTCTTCCTGGCGCCACAAGATGGTGGTGGCTATTTTGTTCTCAATGATATTTTTAGGTTGATAACACAAAGGAATCTAGAAAACGGAAGAACTCAGAAGGATGAGCCTGTTGCTCAATCAGGTTGATATTTTTATTGCATTTCTTTAAAAACAACTGTAATCCCATGTGTACTCACATTTTCAACAGTAGCAGATCCTGCTCCAGCTGTGGTGGTGGAGCGTTCGACTACTGACCTTGTTGCCGACGTGGATGTTCGGAATCCCACTGTTAATGGCACAACTGTTCAAAGTAACCTGACTGCTAATGGAGCTGTTGAAAATAAGGTTGAGCCACCTGTGAAGGTGACCAAAGAGGTTCCCAAAAAGACCTCTGTTGCTGTTCCCCCCTCTCCTCCTGCCCAGAAGGATAACCCTCCTCCAGCTCAGAAGGATATTCCAAAAAAGACCCCTGTTGCTGCTTCTCCCCCTCCTCCTTCTCCAGCTCAGAAGGATGTCACTAAGAAGACTTATGCATCAATTGTGAGTTATCATTTTATCTTTTATTTGTCAAGTAGGCTTTTACTGCTATGTTCATAATGTAATTCTGAAGTGATGGAATTATTGCTTTTATGAATTGAATTGAGGTTCCTTTAGCCTTTGTGGACTTCCTTGAGGTTCTTTCTAATTACTGATCTGCAGGTGAAAGTCATGAAGGAGGGCCCACCAACTCCAGTTGTCAAACCTAAGCCATCTCCTAAACCTGCGACCAAGCCTCCGACCAAGGCTGTTGAAGGTTCAGAAAAATCTTCTGTAAAGCCTTCGCAGGCTGCTGAAGGCACTCCATCGGGCACGAGTGTTGGCAAGAATAAAACTTCTCATGATGGTTGGTTATGACTTTGACTTCGTATAAATATTTAGTCATTTTGGCGTTCATAGCTGTGATCATTATTATACCCTGCAGAACAAGGCTTTTCGATTTTCATCAAGGGTTTGCCTTACAATTCGACTGTCCCAATGGTTGAAGAAGAGTTCAAGAAATTTGGTACGATCAAGCCAGACGGCATCCAAGTTAGGAACAACAAGGTTAGTTGTAACAGTTTGTTTTGGCTCCAGCTGGTGCTATTTGTCTGACATTCTCTTACTTTAATTGCTTCAGATTGATCAGTACTGCTTTGGCTTTGTTGAATTTGAATCCCAGCAATCTATGCAAGCAGCAATTCAGGTATGCCTATACCGGACAAATTATCTTTTTTACAGTATCTGTGAGACCATGTAATAATTGTATCTTACTGTGATGCAGGCATCTCCACTTTATATTGGCGACACTGAAGTGGGCATTGAGCAGAAACGAACCAGTACGAGAGGTAAGCAATCTTCCTGGTTTTCTAGTTTGTTACTTTACCAATGCTACTCTTAATTTGGTTTCTATGCATCTTTGTTTTCTGAGCATGTAAAAATGTGTGTTGCATAAATCTGTGTACTCCCTCTGATCCATATTAATATCAGTGCTGTTTGAGCCACAAGTAATATGGATCGGAGGGAGTAGCTGTTCTTTGTGGCATCAAGTAGCAATGTTGTGCTGCTCTACTAATGTCCTTTCTTTTTGCTAGTATTAGTCTTAATCAATCTATGCTGATTATATAGAAGAAAAAGAAAGCCTGTTGTTGGAATGTTTCCCATGAGTTTCTTAGAGGTTCTTTTGTTTATTTTCAAGATGATGTGTGGTTATTTTGTTAGCTTGAATGCAGCATCCGTTATGAGATATGGATTAACTTGAACTATTTCCGCAGTTGTGAATGGTGTTGTCATGAATGCTGGCGGAGGTGGCCGTTTCCAATACGGGAGGGGTCACCGTGGTGACAACTTCAGGGGGCGGGGAGGTGGCTACATGAACAGTGCGAGCTACCGTGGCGGCGATAACTTCAACAGGAGGGACGACGGTGAGGACTTCAGCAGGAGGGACGACGGCGACAACTTCAACAGGAGGAACGACGGCAGTGAAAACTTCAACAGGAGGAACGACTTCCGAAACCGCAACGAGTTTTCAGGCCGCGGGCGAGGGCCGCCGCACCAGGGGAACGGCTATCACCACCACAATGGGAACGGCTTCCACCAGCCGCGGCCCTTCCAGAACGAGAACGGGACCGGGAGGTACACCCGCGTCAACAACGGCACGAAGCAGACACCGGTTGCTGCTGCATAGAGGAGGTGCTCCCAGGGGAACCCGGTTTTAGGGGAGCCTAAGAATAGGAGATCATTTTTTTGGAACTGGTTACGAGTTTAGCGCTGGTCGTTTGGTGGTGTAAGGTGAATTTGGCTGGTGAACGTCAATTGGTTGGTTGCGATGCGAAAATTGAACTGTGGCGATCTGAACTCTGGTCTGGAATGTGGAAGCGAAGTTCTATGTTGTCATTCATGTCATCTCTGTCTTTTGATGTTTGCCGTTCATGCTATCATTCATATTATCTTATCTTATTATCTTTATGTGAAAATCGCGGCCGAATGATGCAGACGCTGCATCTCCACCTTATATGTTCTCTGGAAATTTCCAGGCTCCTTTCTGAAGCCTTGAATCCTTCCCCGCCCCTTCTCCCCCACTTCCCTTTCAAGCAGGGGCCCGGCACTGATTGCTGCCTGTTTTAAAAGGGGGCTGCAGTTGCGCATGTGCCAACTGGTTGCAACATGAGCCCCAACAAAGTAAGGGTTTCTTTAGATGCGAGATTGCACTATCGGGAACATATAGACATTCGAAGATAGATATTTTATTAAATGCTTGTCATTAACTATATTTGCGATGTCAGGAACATATAGACAGTCTTCATGAACGTAAGTTTCTACTGAAAACGAGTTGAGAGGACTCAATTCCATAGCCCATAATGTGGCCCATGTCTAAACCATTAGGGTGATCCCGATTGAATCCTTTTGTTCCCGGCAAAAGAAGTTGGAGACACCTCTGGCCATGTTCTATTAAGCATCTCTCTAAGGATACTTAGAGATTTTGGCTTGTATAAGGCCATATACAATGCAAAACGCTTGTGAAAATAAACTGATTTTTTTCTTAAGCACCAATACTTGTTTGTATAGTACGTATGCATACTTACACAATCTGCCATAAAAACAAGCATTAGTGCTTGAGAAAAAATGTTTTATTTTCACAAGCACCTTACTGCATTGGTCTAAGAGACTTAATCCTCTCAGCCCTTCCAATCCCCTCCAAAAGGTGCATGTGGGACAAGTTATCGGAAATTCGCACGGGCACGCATCTGCCCAGCCGTCCGATTGACTCGTGATCTGCAAAGTCATTTCGGATGAGGGCACACCAAGCTTAAGTTTTAGTTATGAAACTTGTGATTTTGTGGTCCGCGTGCACCAAGTTTCAGCATTTGAAACTTAATGGAATTTTAAAAACCGGTGAAAACACATTCATAAATGGTCTTATTTTAAAGCCCCCGCCACAAGAAAAACATATACGTAAACGAATCTTAATTTGAAATTTTGTATCAAATCAAAAGATATAATAAAAGAGATTCAAAATCGAAGGCCAAAAAATAAAGTAAAAAAAAATAGGGCGTGTGTTCCCCGTCCTGCTCTAGTGCTCTCCCGACAGGTCACGGCAGTCCCTCGTCTATACGCTGTAGCCTGCATACACTGTGTGGGCGGGTATCCCACCAACCATTTATGCGGGACATCCAAGTGGAATGTAACCAGATTATGATGGAGGCTCAGTAGCTCACCATCACCATCCTTTAGAGTGTGTTTAGTTGTAGAACCAAGTGGAATAGAATTGAATGGTTCCATTCCATCGGAACGGAATGGTTCCATCTTAGTGTTCAGTAGAGCTAACGAGATGGAACGGAATGGTTCCGTCTCAGCGTTTGGTTAGAGGAATAGGATAAGATACAGGTCACGAAGAATTATTTTCTCCAAGTGCTAGTACGGTGATTAAATACGCATCAACTAGTACTGGTACTGAGCATCAACAGTAGCGCATCAACTACGTAGTAATATCAAGCAGGGTGGAAGGGAAATTGATTTCTTCCGTCGCCGACCAGGTGAAGATTGCTGCTCTCGCCGTCAAATTCAGAAGTATCAAGTAGTATGAAGATTGCTGCGGACGGAAATCAATTCAAATGTATCAACTAGTATCAAGGTAGGTGCTCCCGGAAATCAATCTGAAGTCAGGCAAATCGCTCAAACCGAGCGGTGTCAGGCACCAATAGCGGCGAGACACTGTCGTCCTGCTTGTGCTCTGCTTCGCACCAACAGCAGCGACGACAGGAACAAGCCGCGGGAAAAGAAGACCCGCCAATCCGTTGGGACGACGCGGCGGCCACCGATGACGACAGGAACAGGCAACCGCGTCCTGCTCTCTGTTTATGTTGCTCCGCTGGCTACTAGCCTGCCGCCTGCTGCTAGATCGCCTCCAAGCTGTTGCTGCACGCCATGGGAGAGGATAGACGACTGGGACGCGAGGTACAGCCGCCGCCGGAGAGCGAGAGAAGTGTTTTGGGCGGCGGCGGCTCAGATAGAGAGAGGGCTGACGGGGAGAGGCACGCGAGAGAGGTGGTTCCGCGTGGTCCGCTCGTTTTCGAGGAACGCCTCGGTTCGGCATAATCAGCGAATATGCTGTTTCATATTCCGATTCCTTCGACTAACTAAACACGGGATGGAACCGACCCATTACATTCCATCCGATGACAGAAACCAAACACACTCTTAGAGGAGTGCTGAGAGAGCCTGGGACTGAGAAAGCGCAGAGCTTCTCCGCTCTGCTCCTCGCGCAGACTTCACCGGCAAGGGCAAAGGGCAATCAAGATCTGCGGCAACAGTTTCTACATGTAAGTTTGTCAGATCAGACCAATCCTTCGTCCTTTCTTCCTTCCTTGGATCGGCAGCTTTTGGTTCTCGAACAATACACCATCCATCCATGCGGTTTCCCCCTTGATTTGCGGCCATCGTCGTCGCCAATTTTGCGGGTGTAATACCACCATGTACGAAAGCCACAGCTGCTTCCTCCTGATACCCTGTTGGATATTTTGCAGGAAGACAGATCCACACGTGCCGGCGGAGAGCACCGGGGGACAAGCAGTGGCGGTGAAGAAGAAGAAGCAAGGTCGCAAGCGCAAGCCGCGGTCCGACGTGTGGGAGCACTTCGAACCTTTCACGAATTCCGACGGGGAGGAGAGAGCGAGGTGCAGAAGGTGCGGTCTCGACCTCGCCGCCGACACCAGCAGGAACGGCACCAGTCGTCTCCGCCGGCACGCCCAAGGCAGCTGCCCAGGATCACCACCACCACCACCACCACCAAAGCCTCTAGCTGCCGCCGCACAATCACAGTCACTCGACTGCAGTAGTAAGCCTGCTGACAGCAATTGGAAGGAGGCCACTGCCGATCTGGCCAGAATGATAGCGTCGCACTCGTACGACCCATCCTTTGTCGAGGACAGCAGCTTCAGGAGCTTCGTGTGCCGGCTGAACCCGGGCTTCGAGGTGCCCTCGCGGGACGCCATCCAGCTGAGCTGCGACGGTATTTTCGAGGAAACGATGAGGGTCCTGGAGTCTGAGCTCGAGCGCACCTCCGGACAAGTCAACCTAGCACTAGACGCAGCCGAGACCGCTCAGGGGACGGTCCTGTACGTCGCCTGCCACTTCATCGACGAAGGCTGGCATCACCGCCAGATGATCATCGACGCTTATTTGGTCGCGCCGGAGTACATGAGCCGCATGCCGCTGCTGGGCACCGGCGGGGTTGTCCTACACGGCACAGACCGTTACAACGTGCTCGTCGAGAGGATATCCAGCCACTCTGTTCTGCACAGGCTGTTCAGCATCACCGTCGGACGGATCGGCGGCCTCAGGCCCTACCTACAGAAGGCGAGCTTCCAGGCCGTCTGCGGCGGCGTGAGCTGCTGCTGCGGCGACACCTACGCGGACACTCTGCTTTGCTCCGTCGCCGAAGACCTCTGCGACAACCTACGATCACATCCCTTCGCCAGCGACGCAGAGGAGACGGTCGAGGGGGAGCCCGGGCTCGAGTTCGAAGAGCTCCGCTCGCAGCTTGATTTCGACTGCCGTCTGCCGTACCACAAGAAGTGGTACTCGTGCTACTCTTCGCTGCAGGTTTTCCAAAAGTATTCTTCCTCGGAGTTCGACAAACTGCTGTGCAGGCTTTGGAGGGGAATAGATCGCGCCACCAAAACAATCTCGGACCTCAAACATCGTCCTTCTTGAGTTGTTCAAGGTGAGGGAGACCCTGCAGGCTGAAATCGATCGAGCCAGCAGAGAACATCTCTACGGGGGCAGCAATTGCTTTGTCAGCGATGTTGCGGCAGTTCTTGGAAGAGCAAAGGGAAATTTAGACCTGGGAATACGGAACTCGTACCTCAAATGGTCGATCCCGTTTGCGCTAGACCCCCGATACAAGCTCAAGTTCGTCGCCTTCATTTTCAACAGGGCCTTCGGCTTCGGCTCCTCGGGCGAAGAGTACGTCTGCAGGGTGAGAGAAGAAATGGGTCGTCTGTTTGCCTCTTTTAGTAAAGACGGTGGAAATCCAAATCGTGCCACGGAGGAGACTGCCGGCAGTGCTCATGAGTTGGAACAGGCATGGGATGCGTACTGCCGTTCAGAGGTAGTAACTAAAACAGAGCTTGATCGTTACCTGGAAGATCCCCCGGTCCAAGGCGCAAGAGGTTTCGACGTTCTGAGCTGGTGGAAGGCCAGCGTATCGAATTACCCGACACTGGCTAGGATGGCAAGGGCTGCGCTGGCCATTCCCGCGTGCCGCAAGCTATCTCCTGAACAAATGTCCCTGATTGGGAACAAGGTTCGTGGCTATTCCAAATAGACGATGAGAATACCCTGGAGGTGCATATATATGGTGTGTTGGATGGCGGCGGCGAAGTGCTGTAGCTGACGGACCCTTGAAGCCACATGGAGTCAGGAATATCTCGTTCTTGGAAAATTGTTTCATCGGAGTTGGCAACTGCAAGTCTGCAACATCAGATGATACACGGAAGGAGGAAGAAAGAAGGCCACGATGTCTGGTGCTTCCCTGTGATCCCTTGGGCCCATGGTGCAGTTCCTGACGTGATTGCGGCCACACCGGACTTCAGCTCTGTGTTCCACGTCGTGGTTCCCGGCGGCGCTCGGGCCTGGCTCGACTGTCCGCTCGTCGCGCCGTGGAATGTTGAGTTCACGGACGGCAAAGATTTTCTCTGCATTTGTGGCACCAACAGTGGTCTCCGAATTACGACTCCTACATGTGTGGATGTATCTTGTCCTTAAAAGGTCACTAATCAAGCTCTTGACATAACATTTCCTGCTAATCTTGGTCTTTCTGTGTTCATCTCTTCCAAGCTGTTAGTGCTGATAATCCAAATATTGTATACTCTCCAACAGTCCTTGAACGGTGGACCGAACTTCTAACCGGGACTGCATCTTTCGAAGAACCTTTTAAAACTTTCCTCCGTCTCGTGCATAAGGCATGCACGTCGTTCTAGATCATTAAATTAACTAACTAAATATGTATTATATGTAATAAAAAATATATTTAGAAACTTCATTCGCATATGAATCTAGTGATATGCTTTTGATGACATATAATATATTTTTAGTTGTAGTCAAATCGGTGATCTAGAAATACGTGCATGCCCTAAATAAAAGCTACGGTCACGCCGATTGATACATATGTGCAAATAGTTGTATGGATTGTACACCCTCCATTCCTAAGTATAAGTCTTTTTAGAGATTACACTATAGATTACATACGGAGCAAAATAAATGAATCTACACTCTAAAATATGTCTATATACATCCGTATGTAGTTTGTAGTGGAATCTCTAAAAAGACTTATATTTAGGAACGGAAGGAGTATACATTTCCATTTGTTTGCATTCTGACGGGTGAAAGCAATGCATTCAAATTTATATTTCTTATCTATTTCACATTTTCGCTATCGCATTGTGATGGGTGAAAAGCAATGCATTCAAATATATATTTCTTATCTATTTCATATTTTCGTTATCTAAAAAAAATTAAGGATGACTAGCCACACCAGGTAATTCATAAAATGGTATTTTCCTTCCAAAAAAATATCATGAAGAGGGCATGTGCGAGAAGATGGACAACGGGTAGTTTGCGAGGGTAGGAGCACATCCTCTTCCATGGTGTAGTTTGCGTCAAGGTGATGTCTTGCCATGCCCTCGGAAGAGCACATCCTCTTCCGCGGGGTAGTTTGCGGCCCGAGTTGCTTTGTTTCTAGACGAACTGGAAGGTTGGAATTGATACAATTCAACATCTTTGCCCTCTGTGTCTGATTGTTCAAAGTGCCCTACCGCTGCGCCATCAAGATCGAATTCATTGGTCACGCGAAATCACACATCACAATATCTAGAAATGATTTGTTATTGACTCTCGATCCTCCCAAATGCACAGAATCATGGCTAAACACAAACATTGCACAAATGCCATCATTCTTCCATCGTCACATTGCATTAAATCGCACTAATCGAAATGCAAGACAAGGGGGGAGGTTTATTTTATCTCGTCAGTAAATCTTTGATTGTGTGGGATTGGGTAGGAGCCTGAGTTTCGCTCGTTGCCTGGACAAAGGGGGGAGGGGGAAGGACGTGGGACGCCGTTGTTTTCCTCTGTTTCTTCGTTGACACACTGCCGCGCCTATGGGAGAGGTTGGCGCCTGGAGTCCACGACGTTGGTGGCGGCATATGATATGTCCCGAGACGTCGACAATAATGTGGAGGAGGTGCTGGTCTAGGCGGTGTCGGGTCCTTGTTGGGGCCGACGGAGGGGTAGGTGGTGTGACAGACGGGGAAGTCATAACATTAGCCTCAAACCAAGGGAAATGGGACGCGGGGGTCGAGGCGAATTTTATGGCGTCGCCGCCGAGGACTACGGGTGGCCGAAGGGAGCACGACAACAAGGAGATGGGGAGTAGTGCTGGTGGGAAGTGGAGAAGTGTCGCTTGCGCCAAACCCTTTTTGAATGGAGTTCCCTCCAAAGATCCCGCCATGGTCTCCCAATATAGAAGATACATTCTCGATTTGGAGTGGCTTCCAAAAATATAACGATTGGATGATGACTCCGACATCCCAATTTTTTCATCAAAAACTGCCTGTCACGACGACTGGTTACACATATGACAACCCTGTTAGAGTTGGCCGTGAATACACAGTTTTTTAATACACACTTTTGCGTAGAAAGAATGCAATATTAATTGGTCCATGTTTTTTTAGAGGAAAAGGGACCAAGTCCACGGCTCCATTATATTGAATATAACGAGAACCACATGTTTAAATAGTAGCAGGATGCGCTGAAAACCAAGAAAAACTACCCCTAGAAAGGTTAATCCTTTCATGGCACAAAGCGGCCAGAGAGATACTACTAGATCAACGTTTTACAATAAGCCATGATTAGGAAAAGAACAGG